ATAGACATTAAAGAAATGCTGATTTTTAATTCTTTAAAAAAGGAATAGCAATAACTGTGTTAAATGAAACTGCAAAACTGTACTAAAACATGAATTTTGCAATAATTGTAAAAATGTCATTTTCTCTGAAATCTTTAGATAAAAGCAATCATAATGGTAAGTATATACGTGATTTCCCCTTACAACAGAGACATAATTCAGGTAAATTAGCAAACAGGAAATGTTTCTTTTATGGCTTAATGAGGAAAGAAGCAGCTAGCAATACTTTTCACTTCTACCAGCTGCAAATGAAAATCTAAACATCTAATAATATTTTTAAAGTGATTAAGGCAGACATATCTGCTCATTACAAGACTGAACTTACTGCTGGGACTTACTGAATCTATTCTATCATATCAAAAGAGGTTCATATATGCAATTCATAATCTATTTTACAATATAACTTTTTTGCTTTTGTGCCTGTATCTTCTTTTCCATATGTAGCAATCTAGTGTTAGATGCAAAGTATAACTTAGGAATACGCAGTATTTATTTATGTAATGAATTAAGTCACTAAAAATGAACTAATTAATTGTTAATATCTTGGTCTACAATGCACTGGGAGCTACATACATATTGTTATTTTGCCTCAATATTTTTGTTAGAGGAAATTCATGCCAGTATCTTCATATATGCTTAATACCAGGTAAGAATTTTGATTTTTCATAGCACTGTTTAACTTCAAATTGATGTGCATTTGTAATTTGTTTTCCAAAAATATTCCAAGTAGTAGTACTTTAAAACAATACCAATGGACAATTTTTAAAAAACTGAATATTCACTAATAAGGGGTGAATATACTTTAGTCCATAGTTGATCATCAGACAACAAAGAACTATTTTTTCTGCCATTTTTGGTCTACACAATAACAGAAGGTCAGTCACAAATATTTTTAGTATCCATTTTTAAGTAAACTAATCAGTGGATTTGAACATGTGTAAGAGAAAAAGCTGAAGTTACTGCCTAAAAGTAGGTATATGGATCTTTTATAAATCTTGCCTATTCTTTTGTATACTTAATTCTATATAATAAAGTTTTGTCACATCGTTACAAGCAAATTAAAATTTAAAAATTAACTTTCAATGTGTTAACACTCTGAAATTATAACGGGAATGTCAAAAACACAGACAACAAATTATGCGTTAGAGTCATCATGAACATTTTATGGGAAGTTAAGGGTCTTTCTACTATCTGTTTTTCTTCTATACTTTTTGTGATTATTTATATTTCAAAATAATTACTCTTGTTACAGTTCTTTGGTGCCACTATTATTATTTTAGCGTACTATATTATTTACTTCTATTATGTTCAGTTTTAACAGAGTAGAAACAAGGAAGGATGCCCATAAAGTTTAACTGAAATTCCAACCTAGTACTCCTTTACAAAATTTGGATGTTTTCATAAATTTTGTTAATTACAAACAAAGGCAAAAAGGAGCTTCAGAATCAGTTAAACATAAAGTTAACTGCTAGTGTCCTGATAAATTATTCTGTGACCTAGACTTCAAAACAGAAGAAAAGTCCAAGTGTAGAAGGTTATACAATTTCCTTTTACTAAGGATCAATAATTGGTAAGTTTCAAGGGTGTCATTTCCACTTCTAGTAGGCTGAATAATATGCTTGTGTGTACCGTTGGATATAAATTTATTTCTTAATGGAAAATTAGATAAATACATGAAAATATATTGATAAGTAGGTCATGAATTTCAGAGGGCATTAAAAAGCTGGAGTTAAAAAAAGGTACTACAAAAAAGAAGAAAATAAAATTATTTCATTAGTAGTTCTACATGAAAAGGCATGTGGGAAAAAAAGTCTCAAATTTGGGAATTCAACTCTTCCTAGTATAAACAGGACTAAATGGATATATGTTAGATATACACAAATTTATGTTGAAAGGTATGCGCAACTGATTACCGTAAGCACTGTTTTGCTTTCTTTAGAGCCACATAAAATTTGAAGGAACAATCTCTCTCTGTAAAAGTCTTTGGAATCTTAATTTCCTCTGAAAGCATACCAATCACTATGTATGAAAGGTCAACGTTCTCCCCCTTCCACTTGATGCAAGAGCTTGGCAGTAACTGATGGTACTGAACGGTCTTCTGCACCAATTAATGTATTCAAGTGATCTCTCTTTAATTTGGTTTCCGTACAGCTGGGGAGGCTACTCACAACTATCCATACAATGGAACAGAAAAGATCACAAGCAGGGAGGTAGCAATATCTGAAAATCAGCAAGCTGAACTGAGGTAGTTTCCCCACTGTTTGTGAAACTATCTTCTTACTGGTGGAGGTGCTTTTATACAGATCACTGTTTGTCAAATCAAACATAATCCACAGACAACATGTGTGTTTTTGATGTTACCTTAAACACGTCCAGAAGGAGTTCTTTCACTGTCAGGTACCAATATCACCACACTGTGGCATGAGGAAACGTAATTACTGCTAAAGCTTGTGGTTCTCCTCCAACTTCAAAAAAAAATATGAACTTAAAAAACCGTACAAATGACTAAAAAGGAATGGTATATAAAATACTTTGAGATGATATAAAGATTAAGATATACTCTAGCTAGCTCAACTTTCATCATATATTTTCCAATTATATGTGTACCGTATGTATATATATATGGCCATTCTGCAAGCTACTTTTTCTTAGCTTGGTTTAGATATTCATTTGCAGATTGGGATGTGTGTAAATTTTTGAAAAACAAAACCCCAAGATGGACTAGAAGAGAAGTTACAAATTGGCAAGTTCACACTTAGCTTTTCTTTAATACGAGCGCCATGCCTGGACACTGCTGACAAAAGTTCTGCAATAACTGGAGATCTAGAAAGATTCTCTATTTCCTCTTATGTAGGACAACAACAACAACAAAAAACCTAGCACAAACGCTGTCCTCTACAACAGATTTTCTTTTTGGCATGATTTTTGCAGCTGATAGCCAACTGGATGAATTTAGCTTTCTTGCTTTCTCCACTATAATGAAATGTTAAAAAAAGGGAATAACATAACTCCTTCCTAAATATGTGATATTTAAATATTCAATTGAACCTGGGTTTTGAAATAAACATAGGGACTGTAGCTGGATTATTAAAAAAAAAGCATACAATAACCTATAAGTTAACTTACTTGATAGTAATTTATGCATTTTGTTTAAGCCAATATAAGCATGCTCATCCCATTGTTCTAGTTGACATTGTTTGTAACAAATGTGTCCTTTTGTGCTTAGATTATTAATTGCCTCAGAATGACTTCTTTTGTATGGGTCACTGGGTTACAGAGAATTAGCAAATCTCTTATACTGAAAATGGAAAGAAAGGCGAGGAAAAAGAAAATAATATAGTACATACATCAATACAGTATCTTCTAAATCTCAATCAGTTGTTTATTGGTTGGCAAACAAATTTCACTTTTACAACAAATATTAGTAATGAGGTCATCCAACTTTGAGACCATACAAAATGGATCATAAATTTAAAAAAAAATTATATGTGCTGCTAATTTACCTCTTGTATTCCTACATACTTAAAATCCTGTCAAATAAATAATTTTCTCGTTAATAAGCAGAAGACTTTTTTTTTTTAAAAAATCGCTTAAAATAATTTGGCTTTCAATTTGTACTACAAGGGAGAGATTTCCTCTAAAAATTGGTAGGGCAGATGCCCACTTGCGGTTCAGACTGAGCATCCATCACTTTAACGCCTATGGGATATCGTTTTTTCACATGCAAAAGCCCCGCTAGTTCTATAGACACCTCCTGACTTCCAGAATCATAGCTACCGTCTTGGTGATGAAGTGATTGCCAAATGCGCTCTGCGTTACAACAGATGTGCCCTGTAAACATAAAAGTTCGTCCTGCTCTAATTTGAAAAAAAAAAAAAAAAAGAAGAAGAAGGAAAAAAAGAAAAAAATGCTGTTGGAAATATTCTGGCTGGATAAAGATATATAGTGAGGGAAGGAAGTCTAATTTTATTTATTTTATTTATTTTTTGTAAAAAATAATTTGTTTGCATTACTAGAAAATGATTCTTATAAAGTGATAGTTTTATTTATTCATTCATTCATTTATTTTTTTGCCAAGTGAAATTTTAAAGGAAAAAAAAGACAAAAAGAAAAAAAAAAAAGAAAAAGAAAATGAAGAAAGGAAGGAACCTTTGCTCTTTTCCCGGTAGACAAACTTGCAAGACTAGCACGAAAGAAAAAAAAAACTTTTTTTTTTTTCCCACTACATTAACAGGACTCAAATTCTGGAGAACAGAAAGCAGACTATATGTGCAATGCTAGTATCTGTACATTACATAGAAATTGTTCAATTTTTTCTGCCATTAGTTTTATCATCAGTTAATACAGCAACTCATAAAATATGCATTTAGCATATAATTCTAGAATCCCCCTCCATTCCGTGATTAATTTCATTGATTGCTTCCGTTTTCCACAGTGACTCCTGCGGGGGTGAATTCGGGCTGTGAGTGACCATATAACCCACTCTGGGGTTCAGTTTCGCTTTGCTTTGCGCGTGCTTGGGCAGCACCCCGATGTAGGCACAACCCTGGCCGTCCGCCACGCCAGAATGTTCTGGCCTCTCAAAACTCGGGTCCTGGTGCTTCTAGCAACAGAGCATCCGAGAGGTTAGAACCGACACCACAGAACTCGGCAAGGCCACAAGGAGCGCGCGGTCTTCAGTTGGTTCATTAACGTAATGAAGTCTCCCTGGGGGAACGCGCAGGGAAGGGCAGGGCTCAGGGGAATTCCAGCAGTTAAGTTTCTCCCCTGGGCTGACCTAAAAATCCCAGCTTAAAAAAAAGAAAGAAAATAATAATAATAATTAAGTCTCCGAGTCTCTTTCTTTCAAGAACATCAGCATAAAGATCTAGGGGAACACACACGATTACCACCGCTCGCGGGCTCAAGATAGTGCCCGGGGCTGGCGGCGGGGCGCCCCGGGTCCTCAGTGGCTGGCGGCCAGGTGCGCGTCCTTAGAGGCTGGTGGCAAGGTGCGCGTCCTCAGAGGCTGGCGGCCAGGTGCGCGTCCTCAGAGGCTGGCGGCCAGGTGCGCGTCCTCAGAGGCTGGTGACCAGGTGCGCAGGGCCCCGCGCGCCGCGCTCCGGGGAGGCGCCGTCCTTGCCCGGGGGAGCGATGAAACCGTCGCTGCTGCCGCGCCCCAGCGGGTAGTAGGCGTGCAGCGGGGCGCCGTGCGCGCGGGCGCCCAGGTTGGGCATGCTCTTGTAGTATGCGTCCTCGGCGTCCGCGCCCCGGGCCGCGGGGGCCTCGGGCTGGGCGCAGGCGGGGACCCCGTCCGCGCAGGGCGCCCCGGCCAGGGCCGGCAGGCTGGTGCAGAGCGGGTCCCTGGGGGGCGAGGGCAGTTCCTCTGTGTGCTCGTTGCTCAGCAAGGGGAAGAAGCTCTCGCTGTGGTCCTGCGGGAGCCGCCGCCGGGAGTAGTGGTGTGGCTGGTGGTTCTCGGTGGGGTACACGCGCGGGGGCAGCAGGGGCGCGTCCGACTCCTCGTGGATGAGCTCCAGGCCCAGGCCCTCCTCGTGGGTGAAGGACGTGGCGTCGTCCAGGACGATGCTGTCGTCTTCGCTCCCTCCGCCCAGGTTGTTGACCAGCTTGTTCATCAGATTCCGGTTCTGCTCGCTGGAGCGCTCGTGGTTGTTCAGGTAAGACGGGATATAGTTGGACGTGAGTTCCTTCAGAATCTTTTTCTCTAGGGCGGTCTCGGTATGGTTATAGCCTCGGTCTATGATTTGCACACAGTTGCTCAGGTATTCGCCACCGGCAATGCTGTAACTATTGCCATGGTTACCATTCAGTGGTAGAGTATCCATGACACTTGTATCCCTGGCATTGTTCAGAAGCCCCTCTGAAAAAGATTACAAGACACTATGACATGGATATCCAGTAGGCCACAGGACACACACACACAAACACACAGAAGCAAAACATTCATCGACTATGAAGTATGTACATGTTGCTAGCATTCTAAGTATTAAGTCTTTGGAGAGAAACAAAAAATACTATTACATCTATAGGCACATAACCATATCTATGTTATGATCATCGGACAATTGATTGAAATTTTATAAATGGAACAAAGTATCTAAAATAAATCTTAAAAGAAGTCTAAAAAGCCTATACATTATTGATTGGCAATTTCACCAAATATCGTCTGATGTTACTTGAAGCATATCGGGTTATAACTTGAGCAAAATAGTACAAAATTTTGGTGTAGTCATTCATAGCTTTCAATTTATACACATGAAAGTCAATTAAATACTTCATTACATTTAATTTTACATGTTGCTTTATCATAAAAATAGCTATTATATTAACATAATTTATGTGGGGTACTTTGAATAGGCAAGTCAAAGTAAAAGGAGTAAATATTCTAATAATTTGATATATAATTTTCTGAAATTGAAAATAATCCCTACATAAAAAGTAACGAAAAGATTATGCTAAATTTGGTGGGATGACATAGTCATGGAATAATGCTTAGTCAAATAAATCCCGGATCAAAATAATTTACACATAGGATCTTTCAAAATTATCTGGATTTACTTTCTAAAGTTTTCTGCTATAAGCGCTTTACTTGGCATTCTAAGTTAATCCATTAGTGATTGTTTAGGGTCATTAGGTAGTACTACATAAAATTGCTTAAAAACACAGATTTGATTCCTAAAAACATAGTGTCAGTATTCAAGCTACCATTTTATAATGTGTGTTGGCTTTGGAGTATATCAAATTTTGAGTTTAAAAGATGATAAACATTTTATTCTGGTAAGAAACAGCTGCATTAAAGTAAATTTGACCATCTACTTCTTCAAGGTTTTAGCATTTCCTTGAATAAATAGAAATTCAAGAATCTATAATAGTTTCACAAATCAGTTCAAATGTAACCAAAAATACACATTTAACCAATACTGCTACATAAAAAGTATTTCCTGACAGAAATATTAATTGAAAAATCTATTCAGCTTCTCAATACATTGGTAACTTGTGAAAATACAGCACTCATTCTATATCTGTGAGGCAGTTATGCTTCTCAAAACTCAAGTAGTTCAGGTCTAGTTTAAATGAAGGGTTGCATACTGTCAAATTTGCATGGGTTTCTGATGCATACTGTGTATTCAACTGACACAGATTTCTATGAACAGCCATCACAGACATAGGTTGAAGTCATTTATTTTCATATTATATCTTATACACAAATCCACAATGTTAAGAAAAAAAAAAGGTAAATGCCTTTTAAAGCGCTGTATGTGATGGGTGATTGCTATGGCGGAGGCTGTATGCTTAATGGTTATGGCTGGGTGGCTGATGCATTGGAACATGATTTGTTTTAATTTCTGTTATCAATGCATTAGGTACAGGCTGAAAACAGCCACAGTAAAATAAAGAGGGTGTGCTGCATGTGACACATTTTTATGATGCAATGTACTAATAAAAACTAAAAGGTCATGAGTTACTTAGCAAAAATAAATGCTTAATTTAAAAACAATTTAACTCACACAAACATTACATGAGACTTAACAACTATGTTGATTATGTGACAGAATAAAAGAATCAGACAACAAAAGCGTCTAATCTCTATCAGCATAGATTTATATAGGTTGATTTACAAGCTTTTTAGTTTTTAAATTGTGAGATGAACTGTTTTTAATAACTACATCATCTATATGTGATGCAATAAAAGTGAACTAAAAAAAATTACATTTGATATGCAATGTTTAGCTTTACTCCCATACTTGTCTCTCTGTAGGGCTCTAAACGACAGCATGAAGGAAAGGAAAGAAAAAACAACAAGTAAGCTTACAGCGACAGCAGGGGAAACATGAGTAAAAAGCAAATTGATGATATGCAGAGAAAAGAGTCAAAGGAAATAATTTCCACTACCCCAAAATTCATGAGTCGGTGTTACATGGTTTATCATAATTAAAAAATACTAAAATGTTAGTCAGAAAGTAAGAAATTCCCCTTAATACATGCTAATATAATGAGTCTTTCATTAGCATTTCTGCAGTTTGTAAATTTCAAACCAGTACACAATTCTATTACAGTCAAGGTTACCACACCAACCAGAAAGCTTAAAAAGAGGTGAGTCATGCCTATTTCATGCTATTTTTCAGTCGTATTTGTGGGAAGTTAGAATGCACCTGCTTGTAAAGAGTGCCATGTAACTTCGGTATTTATTAGTAAAAGTATTAATGAAATCCTTAACTTGGATGTAAAGAGAAAACCAGAGTTGAAGGTTTTCATACTTGTGTTCAGTTTTTTTCCCCTTGTATCTCGTCTCTTTCCTTGTACAAAGGTTATTTTCCCCCATTGCGCTTAGACAAATGTTTACCATTTCTACTTAAAACTTGACCGACACTGTCATTTCTGGAGCTCATATTCAGGAGTTGTGTTACTACTGAGGGGAAAAAAAAAGTTAAACCCATTTGCTATTCTATATCAAGACAACATGTGGGGAAAATACCACCCTCAATATCAAGTTTTCCTCTGGACTGCTGCAGAGTTGTATGCAATCAAACACTTTGAGATTTAAAAACAATCCTAGAAAAAATCTTTGAAAACTAAAACTCATATTGTAATCAAGTCAGAAGAGTTGCTCTTGCTGATTTTGTTTATAGGACGGTTAAAACATCACAACATTGAAAACCAATGGAGTCACTAGGCCAGATCATTTCAAGGCGTTCTAAATTATTATGCTTTGACCACTGCTTAGGAGACAGTTTTACATATATTTTGAAGGTTGATTTGCTTCTCAGCAAAAGAGACCTGCAGTGTTTTAGAATGCAGAGGGACTCTCCTTTTAGCTTTCTAAGTAGTGTTAGAGGAAGAGTTTGAAATAAACAGCTAAGCCATTTATCAACAGATGAAAATGGCTGTAGGGATCACAGTGGCTTGTCCCTTAAATGTGATATTAGCATACAGATCTCTGAAGCTCAGTTCTCACTTGCCTGAGAGAAGCTACAGCCTGTACAGCTTAGGTCTTGTCTAATGGCTCCCTTTAGAACAGCAAAGCTGGGAGACAGCAAGAAGGTCTTCCAGCCTACCCTACCTCTGTTGCACTCTTCCCGGTGAAAGCCATTGGAACACGGACTTGTACTCTACAGTTTAATCTTACACTCTTACCAAGTACAATGTATTCCTCACAATATCCCATCCTAAGGATGTGCTTTAGAGTTTTAGAATTGAATTAAATTACTTTACAGTGTAAGTTTATTTTAGTAAACTCACGACTTCTTATGTTGTATCGGTAAGTTTTTCTGGAATGGGTTATATCTTTACAGAACTTGAACTTCTAAAACTGACAAGATAATGACCCAGAAGTGCTAGGCATTGGATTGTAAATATTTCCAAAGGTAGATTCTGAATTCAATATAATAAAAGCGTATTATTCATTTTTATTTCTAACTCTATATGCTTCAGTAACACTATATGTACAACTTCACACATTTTAAATAAAAGCATTACAAGCAAGAACAGATACTGTAAATCTGAAGGTTTCTATGCCTGGATGGCACCGGTACAACTGAATTAGCACACACAACACAACCAAGTGGTAATTCGACATAAACCACTCCAGTACGTACCAAGCCACCCATATTGCATGTAAGATATCACCTTGCCAGTAAGAATATAAGTGCATTCATCTGAAAGCATAAGATTAGTAGCAATATGACAATCACTAATACTTATTTTAGGTTAGTGTTAGAAGATTAATTTATTTAAGCACTACCATGATTAGTAAAACAATGCTAAAACATCAAATAGCTGAACAATTTCAATTCTGACCATGAAAAAATTAATAAAATTATTTACTTTTTAAGAAAAGTCAGCATTTATTAAACTTGTTGGAATAAATGACAAATCCATTTAGACTAATCCTTTTTTATTTACTGATAATCATAACAGCAATAACCAGTAATGGATTCCACAGGAATAAAACTCCTTATGTATATGCTATTAATTTAAATTTTGCACTAATTTAAATACTTTTTATACAAGTGGTCCACCTTTTTAAAAAATCCCCTATTTTCAGATACCAGTAAAAATCATGTAAAACAAGGCAGATTGAAATAGTGAAAACATACAACTAATATTCTTTTATTATATAAGAAATTACGAAATATATCTGAACAAACAAGCCAAAAATGTGACCAAAATTTCTTGTTTGAAAATAATTACCAGCAATTCTTTTGTTTAAGGTGAATAATGTAGAGTACATTTAATTTGCAGAGAAAGTACAAGTCTTTCACATTATTCAAAACATGCTAGTGTATAGCAGCACACCTTAAAATGTTTATGATGACACCTTTCCCTGTTATTTGGCTCAAAGTAAATAAGGAAAAAATGTAACAAGCATTTACAAGGCCTACTAAATTGCTGTGTTCCTGAGGTGTCTGGTGCACAGCGTGATGTGCAGTTTAGGGTCCTACAACTGAGTTGGGTTGCTGACAGATGAAACAGCATAGAGGATGCCCATGAAGAAGACTCAGACAATGTCTCACACTGATTATTCTGGTTTCCTGGGGAAATAGACCAGAGGAAAAGAGCTGATTCCAAGTATTTATAGACTTGCCAGGAGCAGCAGAAGAGCACTTTACAGCTTTACTCTCTTGCTCTAGAGGCATGGTAAGCGTCAAACCAGAGGAATATACATTTAAAAAACAGCTGAGCATTTCAACAATAGAAAACATGAGATCCTAGGTGGGAACAACCCCATTGGAGGAAATGCTTTAATTCAGGCCTACAAAATGTCAGCCATGATGGAAAGAGTGTTTCATGACGTTTCTATCCCTCCTTCTACTCTAAAAGTTTGTGATTCTTAGATAGTAGAGTTTGAGAAACTTGAAGAAATTGAAAGGTCACTGAATTATGTTGACAAACATTTCCTTCTTTTGTCTTTTCAAGATAGGGTTTCGCTATGCAGTTCATGCTGACCTTGAACTCACTTTGTAGCCCCTACTGGCCTTGAACTTGCAGTAATCCTCCTGCCTCGGCCTCCCAACTGCTGGAATTAGAGGCACGCACCACCATGCCTGGCTACAAACAACCAAACCTCTAAAATCACTCTTTAATCTATGTCTTTGTTATTTCTGAGATAATTTTAAGCCATCTTTTTATCTAGCAAAGGACCACTGAGGATACTCATATAGTATGAGACTCTCACTGTCCCAGTCGTCATGAGGAAAAACATTGATTTTTTCTTTTCTTTTTTTTGCATGGTGCATTCACACAAAAACTGCCCACAACTCATCTTTTACCTTTGACTAAAGGGGGAAAAAAAAAACAAACATTTCCCCAAAAGGCAATGAAAATTTTATTCAAAAATGCTTGGAAAATTTATTGCTGATCTATCATATTCAACTGCAGGGCACATGGAAGACTCTTCTTATGGTGAATTTTTTTTTAGGTATAATTTTAAGTAAGTGGATCATTGACTAGGTTTATTGTTTTATGAGAGCTTTATTTAAACAATGTTTGTGGTCTCTGTATAGATACAGATGTAGGATATTTTAGTTTTTTGTGTCCCTAACAAGTTTTTATATTTAGAAAGGTAAAAAACAGGTTCAAGTTACTTATTTTGTAAGTAGCTTTAAAAAGACCTATGCTTATTTTATTGTGACACAAATGTGTATCTTCTCCAGCTGGAGGACCTTGAGAGGACTCCTATACCGTAGAAAAACAGTTTAGTGAACTGCCCAGGGCAGCGCCTATAGGTGACTGCAGAGGAAGAGCCGTTCCGTCCGCTTCACTGTTCTCTGCTGCTTCGTTCAGTGTAACTTCTGAGTAAGTGGAATGCTTTTGTCAGTCCTCAGGCTCTGTGGCCAGCATGCATTCAAAATGCAACAAAGATTAATTTTCTTGATCTTACACAATGAAGGCTACTGAATTAAGTCTCTTTTTCTTACTTACCTTAGACAAATATCTCATTTCTCAAAATAAATACTTAGGTATTTAACACAGAAATAAACAACGAGAAAAGTACTGACAAACCACAATACACTTTATAACAGCACAGAGGAACAAGCACATATTGATGGATCAGGCATTTGTTTATCAGAAGGGATCCATTTCTGACTAAGGAAAAACCTAAGGAAAATGGAAAACAAAGGCACCAAGGGGTGGAATGTGAAAGCTGTCTGTGTGTCTGCTTCCAAAACAGAGGCAGGAGAAAGAAAAATAGAATGTGCCCGTAAAAGCTACATAAAGTGGGAGTCTCACTTGGAAAAACAAGATAAACTGCAGCACACCTTGTGCGTTGTACATGCTGGCAGAAGGGTTGTTACAGACCGCCGGGTCCCCCAGCAATGTATTATAGGGATTGTTAGTACCATGCGCACGGAGCAGAGCATTGCTTACAAGGTGATTAGCCATGGCTCCTGGAACAGCCCCATGGAAAGACAGAGAGAAAAAAGGTCAATCAGGCAAATGTGTTTGAAAAAAAGAAAGGAAACATTTAGAATGACAACAGTTGATACAGTCCTGATTACAGGCAAGCAGTTAATTAGACTACAAAATATGCCACCAGAGCATACATTTCCAACAGTGCACATATTGAGTCCATGGGAAAGATGGAAAATGATTTACAGTGTTGATTAAGCCACATTGAGGGTGCTATCTTTCCCAAGGTGTAAGCAAGAGTATACTCCCATGCTTCCTAAAAATAAAAGTAAAAAAGCAAATCCTTTCATTCATACAAGAAAACACAAACTGAAAGCCAAAAAAAAAAAAAAAAAAAGAAAAGCTAAAATTA